ATGATTGACAACTTGAACCGTACCGTTGTCAGCTGTGGCCTGGATGGCAAAGTCAAGGTACACCCCACCACTCCCTCTTTTCTAGAGATTCGCAAACTGACATTTTCTGGAATATAGTTTTGGGATCTTCTTTCTGGGAAATTCATTGATGAACTAGACTGGCATCCCATGGCTGCCATTACTGGACTTCGCTATAACAAGGCGAGTGAATTAGTCGCCTTCAGCTGTGACGACCTCTCGATCCGTGTGATTGACCTCGAGACCAGAAAGCTCGTTCGTGAATTCTGGGGATGTGTGGGTCAAGTCAATGATTTCATCTTCTCAAATGATGGACGATGGATTATTGCTGCCTCCATGGACTCGGTGATACGCGTATGGGATATGCCCACCGGGCATTTGATTGACATCTTCCGCGTCTCAAGCACATGTGTCGCTCTGTCCATGTCTTCAACGGGTGAATTCCTTGCTACCGCACACGCCGGTAGCATTGGTATCAGCCTTTGGAGCAACCGCAGCCTTTTCATGCCGATCTCGACCAAAAACCTGGACGAGAACATTATTGAGAACGTTGGGCTTCCGGCAACATCGGGAGAAGGTGGTGCTGGTCTTATTGAGGCCGCCTTCGTGGATACTACCGAGCAAGATGAGGCAGAAGGCCCAGTACTGGCCACGGAACAACTACAACACGACATGATGACTCTGAGTCTTGTCCCTAAAAGCAGATGGCAGTCATTGATTCACCTAGACACTATACGGGTATGTTTCTATCTCTGCACGGGTATGATCTCTAGCTAACAGTTCAATAGGAACGTAATCGCCCCAAGGAAGCCCCCAAGGCACCCGAGAAGGCTCCGTTCTTTCTTCCTTCTCTGCTCAGTTCCAGTGGTCCCGAGGCCGGCGAAATCGCCGGCGCCGAGGATACCGATGCTGGATCGATGGTCAAAACCGCCGAAGCCGAAAGGTTGCGGATTGCCAAGTTGCAAAATGGTGGAAACCCCGGTTCTCCTCAATCTATTTTCACCCGATCATTGGCATCCGGCCATGATTCCGGTGACTTCAGCTCATTTATCGACCATCTCAAGACCTTATCTCCGGCCAAAGCAGATCTCGAGATTCGTTCTCTGGATCCTCGGGTGCGTGATGGACACTCTGAGTTGTCCGATTTCGTTATTGCCCTGACTGCTCGCCTGAAGTCAAAGAGGGACTTTGAGCTTGTCAATGCTTGGATGGCGGTCTTTTTGAAAATTCACGCCGATACTGTGAGTCTCAGCTCTACTCAAGATGAGCCTCGGTATCGTCTATTGCAAGATGCTCTTGCAATTTGGTCTGACGAGCAACGGCGGGAGGGAAAGCGCCTGGCTGAGCTGGTGGGCTACTGTCGCGGAGTGGTCGGATTCTTGCGATCTGCTCGGTAATTTGAAATGGACAGATCTATACTTATGTACTTACTGGATAAATATCTCGGGACATGAGTGCCTTTTTTTCTTTGTTATCTATCACGCGTGTTACGTTGAATCTATATGCATTTGTTCTATAAATCCAGTGATTTTGCAGGAATTTAGGGAACTTCTGCATCCTATCTACTTTGTTATCATCTTATTTTATTTCCGCACCTTCTAATTCTATTCATATATCTCAATTTAAGGAAAGATGAGATCAATATTCCAAGTTTTCTAGGCTGTCCAAACTTGGACCTCCGGCGTCTTACCACCCTGACTAATACGGATTTTTTTTTTTCGAGAAACAATCCACAACCACGACAAGAAGGGTTCTTCCACGCATTGGCTATGGGGATCCCCCATTTAACTAGGCACTTACTGCCATATGCCGAAAGCGTCTTGTTAGATGGGAGGGCGATCGATTCAGAACTTCCGCACATCCAAGCCGTTGTCATTGACGGGCCCAGCCTAGTATACCATGTCTACCGTCGACTCCTGGGCTGGATGGACCCAAGCAGTGATGTCCTTGACTACCAGCCAACCTGCGACGAAATCAGTCGCGGGGTGAGCAGCTTCCTTCTCCAATTAACCAGAATGGGAGTTAAAATGTAAGCGCTCACAACTAGTCCGAAACACAGCTATCCTCTGATTATCATTTTCCTTTCTCTCTCTGTCCTTTAGACATAAGATATGCTTCGATGGTGCCTTGCCTATCTCCAAGCGAAAAATCCGCTTTTCCAGAATTGAAAAGTTAAGACATCGACTAGAATTGGCTCGTCGAAATTTGTCTCTGCCTGCTACGCCCAAATGTCGCGATGTGATTCCGACTGAACGAGGGCAGGTCTGGTGCAGTCGAGGCTTGCCCCAGCGACGAAAAGGCCTTCCAGAGAATCCTTTCATGGTACCGGCGGTCTTCGAGGACCTGCTGAACCGATGGAGCAAGGAACAGATCCGGAAAGAGGTTGACGATGATATCAGTTGCCTTGTCACCGATGTCAATCACCCCTGGGCGGAAATCACTGTCATGGTGCCAGGAGAAGCAGATGTTGAGTGTGCCCGTGTGGCAAAACTTACCGGCTGTTCAGTGTTGACGGATGATTCGGATCTGCTGCTTCACGACCTTGGTCAGGATGGCTCGCTCTTGTTTCTAGACTCGGTTCAAACGTCCTCGGGCGTCTGGGATCCGGCCGAGCCAGATATTCGGGGGCTGAGGATCTGTCCCCATTCGCTCTCTGGCCGATTGGGCATCCCAAGCGTTCAGTGGTTTGCTTACGAATTGCAAAAAAATGCCCACCTGCGTTTTGCTGAACTTACCCGGATATCTCAGGAGAGCAGTAAGGCGACTGAGCTCTCCTCTGAATATCTGGAGTTTCTTCAAGAATATCATGACGATACCACTGATAACGCGGTGATACCTGGAGCAGAGCAGTCCGTACAACTGTTGGATCCGAGGGTATCGGAGTTATTTTGGCAGTATGAACTTCCTAGTATTTACTGCTCGGATGAACAGCCACACGTCTATCTCGGGATTTTGAACGAAGATTTTTCCAGACGATGTGCCTGGGAACAAGGTCGAACATATAGGTCCCTTGGGTACTCATTTTTCAACCTTTCCCGTCTTGTTGTCAATCGATACGCAGTCGTACATGAATTCGTTCGCAGGGGTGGAAGGATCGTGGCCGAGGAGATCACTTTAAGCGGAACAAAGACCGTGATCTCCGACCTGGATCTTCTCCAGAAACGTCTTGCGCTAGCACACGCTACCTTTGACGACGGTCTGGCAGCGGAGAGCTTCTGGTTTTTGTATGCTCTTTCCGATATTTATCGTGATGGATCCGGTACAACCACAGTTCCAAATGCGAAGGGGTTGGAGAGCTTTCTTAAAAATGGATATATGGCGCGAAGTACCGAATGGGCGGATATTCACCTTCTTGCTCAAATGCAAGCTGCACTGTACTCTTTACGAATACTGAAGCAGCTGCTCGATATCGCAACTCCTGGTCTTGACTTGGTTGATACCAGCTCACTACTCGCGGATTTACCTCCACTACACATAATGATGTCGCGACAGAAGATGACCCAGAGCTTTGCCAACACTCGTCTTGTCCGGCATGCGGTTTCTAAATTGATAGAAACGTATGGTTAACAAATACAAATCTACATTGCAAACATGCACTAGTACTTCACGAATTAGAGACCCCTCAGGTAATGACTATTATCAGCTAAGGATTCGGCATTCATGCGGTTTGTAGATTACAATGACATTTGCATTGGCGGTCGCCATAGACATAGAAGACATAAATGTGCCACTTGATAACCTTGCCTGAGAAGCCCCGGGTCCTTCAAATGATTCATTCCATTGGCATATAGGTTTTAAAGTACTAGAACCAGCCCTGGGAGGAGCGATGCTGCTGGTTCTCGATCCAGTCGTTTTGTTTGATCGGATACGGTCGATTGACAGAATAATCTTGTCTTGCGGTCGTGCGTGTTGTGGTTGCCTGGTGTCTGGAGGCGAAAATTGTTCAAGTTATTTTACAACTTTCTGGCGAAGAAAGAAACGGATATTTTTGTGGGTATCATGTAGATGGTCGCAATAGCGACAGACGATTGGATAAATTGTTTCAAGTTGCTCATTTTTCGGGGGCATCGGGAAGTCGTTCAATAACATATTTGCCGCGAGCGACACTCATGATGGGTGCTCCAGGAATCTTGCTATTATGGTTGTTAGAATTTGGCTGGTACAGCGAAAATGAGATCGATGTGTAGGTTACATACCGAATCCGTCTCTTAAGATCACGATCGTTTGTGGCGATAATGTAGACACGATGTTTGATGACACGATCGACCAGACAGTCATCGGCATATGTTCCCTTGTGGTCACACTTGACGCGCTCGAACCGAGGGTCTTTGGCTACACGCAGTGCAAGTCGGTATTTCGGGCCAAGCTTCTCCAACTCGGCAAGTACGCAATCTGTGACGATAGGAATACATTTGGCGTACAAACAGTCAAGCATGGTAGGAATGACCTCAAGTTTGTGCTGAATGGTGTGGGAAATGAAATTGGTATCGACCAGCACGGAGTATGGGGGAGCGAGGGCCGTGTTGAACTGGAAGAACATTGACGAAGGAGCTTGGGGGCTAAGAGCGAACTTGTCAGTACGATTATTGCGATAGTACTATATGATGCACTTACGCCTCCTTGACGAGGTCATCCTTCTTAGCCTCTTGACCTTTCTCTGTCTTGTCTTGATTTTGCTTCCTATAACCGACTGTTAGCAAGTCGCAAGAAGATCATGTTTCGTGATTATGACGAACAGGCGATTGTCGCGCATGGTAATGGCTCTCTTGGCCAGCGCATACTTGCGAGTCTTTTTCTGAACTCCCATGATGACGAGATGTGGATGATAATAGTGAGGAAGAGGTTTTTTTTCTCTTTTCTTATCGGGGAAATCTATCTCGGGTTCGGGATGACTAATCGTGTCGATGGGCTCTGGGCATCCCCCACGGACAATCTTGTCTTCAAAACTCCCGTGTACTCAGCAATAACCTCAAACATTCATTATGTCGGGAGCGGATTCGGACTTTGATCTGTCGAAGGTAAGTCCCTACCTCGGCGTTCGCAAGCAACATATATTTCCCTAAACTATGCTGCTAGACAGCGTTGTCCCTGTTGCATTCCATTCCCTCTACCAACGATCCAAGGTCGGACAGCTAATCCAATATATAGGCACTTGCAGAACTTGCAAAGTACGTGAGACCACTTATAGCTTACATCAATAAATTCATGAGATTGACATCATATATTTAGGGGTGAAATGACTGCCTCGGCCCTGGAAAACCATCTGAGCGCAATTGAAAGCCAAGTCGATGAACTCTTGGCATCTTTCGAAAAGCAGGCGGCTGCTGCAGTGGAGGCTACGTCTGTCGATGAAACAGACCCGAGTCAACCGGAAACAGATCAGGATCAAAAAGTAGAGCCATCGAATAGTCCAGCCAAGTGAAACTTGCCATCGCCTAACTTCTCTGCAACTCCAACCTCTGTGATAATCCCATCTATCAAACTCGCGGGAGTAATGTCAAATGCCGGGTTCCAGACATTGATCCCTGGCGCAGCAATTTTCACGGTCTCAATCACAATCTGGTCGGTGGCCTCAGAACCCGCACGGGGACCTTTAATGCTGGTCACTTCAGATGCTGCACGTTGCTCAATGACAATGTCTCTCCCTGATTTCGTTGCCATATCGATTGTTGTGAGCGGCGCTGCAACGAGGAACTTAACGCCATGGTACTTTGCCAAGACAGCGAGACCATATGTGCCAATCTTGTTGGCTGTGTCACCATTTGCTGCTACCCTATCAGCTCCCACCACAATTGCATTCACTCTCACTTTGGTATCTGCGAGCAAAGCGGCTGCCATGGAATCCGTGATGAGTGTAGCCGGAATTTCGTCGTGAACCAACTCGAATGCTGTAAGGCGAGACCCTTGGTTGTAGGGCCTGGTCTCTGTGCAATAAGCGTGAGTTAGGAGGCTCTTCTCGGCCAGCGAACGAACCACACCCAATGCGGTGCCATATCCAGAAGTGGCGAGAGAGCTAGTGATTCGGGATTAGTGAGAACATACGACGGATAACGGATAATGTAGCGAATCGGCCTTACCCAGTGTTGCAGTGGGTCAATACAGTAATCATTGAATTCCCTCTGGACGCACGAACGGCGATCCATTCTGCGCCATTGTGTCCAATTTTCTTGTTATCCTCGAGGTCTTTTCCCATCATATCCTCTGCCGCCTGAATAAAGGCGGCCGCGACTTCGCGGCCAGTAGAGCCCGGTGCTTTCGTGCGGTTGACCACTACAGCCTCCAGCTTGCGCGCAGCATCAGCGAGATTGACGGCAGTCGGCCTACTCGTCACCAGATAAGCAAGCTTCTCTGTGATATATTGGCACACCTCTTCTGGTGATTGTGAAAGCTTGTCGCTGTCCACAGCAGAGGTTAGCTCCGAAGCGAGAGCAAGCATTGCGACGATCGCAATAGCAGGTGCCCCTCGGACTTTCATATCTTTGATGGCGTGCCATCCATCTTCTGTAGTCCGGATGGGAATGTATTCTTCGACAAATGGAAGCTGCAATTGATCCAGGATCTCAAGGTTGCCCTTGCTATACTTGATTGCCTGTAACATCTTCGTAGGTGACGGTCAAAGGTTTTAAAGACCTTGGTGAGGCGCGAAGAAAGAACCTTAAAAAGTCCGCGGGGGACTTTGGAAAGCTTACTTAAGCAATGCGGGGGGTAACTAACTACAACAGGTACAATAGTTAAGAGGTACAACCTTCCCAGGAACGAGGAACGTACCTCTAACGTATGTAGTTAAGGTAACCAAGCCAGGTAGGATCAAATGCCATGGATTACTGTGCGAATATACTCTGCACCGATTAAACATGAGGTCAATGGCACATCGCCACATCGCCAGAAAACTTATCAAGCCGCCTAGGAAACAAATAACGAGCTCATGGTCACCAGCGCCAATGTTGAGCTCAATACAAAGCAGGGGAAAAAAACCCCCCTAGGTACGTAGCCTTCATAACCCTAGGCTCGCAAGTATGGCCAACTGCATCATAAGAAGAGTTGGTCAATCACCACCTAGGCTTATATTCTGTCCTCCTAGCTAGAATGTTCCAAATCATTGCGACGACACTCAAATGGTGTCTTTCTTATCCACTTGCAGGTTGTCATAGGTGGGCCCAATCGATAACATCGAATGTGTATTGTGGGATCAGCTGGAAGAGATGTAGAGTACTGTAGGCTCTAGTCAGAAAGCTGTCGCACTAGCCATAGGATTGGAAGACAAGAAAGGATTGACAAACCGTTGTTTCCGCGCACGAAAGCATCCCCGTAGTTTCGTCGTAGTTTTCCATTCACGTATTCTTCAGTCTTTTCAAGGGCAATGTTCATGTAGCCATCAACTGATTGCAGTTCACCTATTGGCGCATTAGAAGCGAGGCCACTAGGAACAAGAGAAAAGTCCATACCCTTGTATACCACTCCAGAATTCAGCTTCACGATCACAGGCGCACCGATGATCTCACTCAGAAAGACAGAAGGGTCTTTCCCTTCAGAGGTTGCGGCGTTCTCCATATTGATACTGTGGTCTGAACTTTATCAAATGTCAGCCAGAGCTAAGTTCCATGGGAAAAGGGAAGACGTACCAGGTTGAGATGTGTTTTGAAGCAGACGGAGGGACGAAGCATTCGAAAGCAAGAGACCAGTAAGGCGGTGAGTGATGCACTATCACAAGCGGGGCGGGATCTGCTGATCAGTTTTCGAAGAAGATCGGACACCGCCATTGTATTTTGCCGGTATTGCCGGTCATAAAATAGTATACTTTCTATTCGCTTTGCAAACATCATCCAAAATATTGAAATAGTTGAATTTGGCAAACTATGTGCTAGCATAGCTATTTGAGGCTAATCTGTAACTAATAAATCAAGAGGAAAGAGGTCTTATATAGTCAAATATTCCGTTAATCAGAAAGCATGCTAGTGTACCTTTATTAGGCGGTAAGCAGGACGGTGTCTTGACCCACTATAGGCTAGAAAGTGTGATAGCATGTTCCCTCCATCTTGACTACCAATTGTTTGGCTTATGCCCGGCCCTCGTGTCGCACATCTTACTCTATCACTAACATATCGCTGATTATAATAAGGTGCTTCCCGAGTCACTTCTAAAATCCATTCGGCCATCCTACCATACTTGGATCTTTTGAGGGACTCATGAGCTTTTTCAAAAAGCCCTCATGGGCAATAAAGAATATGGAGGAAACTGGCACTGAATTTTATCGACGCTCAGAACAAACGTACTCTGATATCATTGCTGCGAATCGTGAAGCACGCCACAAGCCGAAATCACCGGAGATCCCAGAACATACCGAAGATACTCAAGATACCGGGGATATTGAAGACTCAAAACGAAAGAGGCGGCGTCGGCACTCTAGTGAAAGGGGAAAGGGGCGCAATGATAGCAGTCCGGTGCAAAATGTGGCCCGTGAGGTTGATAAACTTGTGCTACCGGAGCCACAAGAGCTCTCGGGTTCCTCGCATGATTCCTCACCCGAATCAGTCAAGCCAGTCAAACAAAGCGAACCAACACAGAAAAGCAGCCCAGGAAAGCGCTTGTCCCAGTCACCGCACAAAGTCAGTGGTCCGGAACCACTAGGTGCTCTGCCTGTTCAACCAGTGATTGTCCTAGCGGATGATTCGGAAACTCGAACCCCTCGACCTGTTGAACCTCCTAGGCCTGTTCAACCTTCACCTCGGCCTGTTCAACCGGCGGAAGTTCCAGCGGATGACCCGATTGTCCAAATCATGATCACATCCGAAATTGCGAACACCAAACCATTACTCGTCCATCGAAAAATGTCACAGCGGCTCAGGGATGTGCGGTTGGCATGGTGCAGTCGCCAAAATTTCGAACCCCATATACAGGCATCAATCTACCTGACCTGGAAGGGCCGACGTCTATTCGACGTGACAACTTGCAGGAGTCTAAATATAAATACCAGGAAGAACTCTGCAGCGATCCCTGGCATTGATGATGACGACTTTGCAGACCAGAAAGAGCTGCGCATACATATGGAAGCGGTTACCGATTTACCTCTCCCGGTCAATCAGCAAATTACCTCGCCTGATAATGAAAAGCCCCCTACAGCGTCACAGTCCCCAGGAGCTGACCAGGGCGAGCCAATGAAACTTATTTTGAGGAGTCTTGAACACGACGATTTCAGAATCAAAGCAAGGTCGAAAACCCTGATCTCGCGACTTATATCGGCTTTCCGGGAGAAACAGAATATTCCTGTGGACAACGACATCTTTCTCTTGTTTGATGGGGACAAACTCGATCCCAATTCATGTCTTGGCGACTACGACATTGACGATCTAGATCTGCTGGATGTCCAAATCAAATAACCCTCCTCGAAGGATCTGAACAACTGAATAATAGCTAATCCGGGCTAATCAAAGCTAATAAAATCTTCCAGTCTGACTCTAGGGAATTCCTGTAAAGATAATGTATATACGGAGCACAATTTCAGAGTAAACATCAACTTAGTATAGTAGTGGACCTATCCATATCGATCACATGATATCAGATAAGCCGTGGGACTCTTTTTTTTTCTCCCTCGGAGGGGCCATCGACGATGTTCATTATCCGCTAAATTAATCTCCTGTCTAGACCCAATCGATCTTTACATACCTGAGCAACATTCTCAGAATATTCGCATCGACAAACCACCAACAATCACCCTCCAAAACCCCCACAATGAAAGTGATCACCGCCAATTTCGTGACATGCGCCGTGAAGGAATGCAAGACATCCCCGGCCTCATTCCCATTACATTTCCAAGACGCCGAGCTCGAGCAACAAGAACTAGACTTCCAGCCCGAATTCATCCGCAACGTTCTCCCCCGAATTGACTGGGAAGCCCTGCGCACCGTTTCCAACGAGGTATGAAGATCCGACACCCAAGTTTACCTATTCAACCGATATACCTATACATACGTGTAGGTAATTCACCGACAATTACAAATAAGCTGACTCTTGCGGTCTTATTTCAGCTTGGATTCCCGAGTCTTCCAGATTCGAAACCTGAGGGCGAGGCTCTCGACAACGAGCAGACATTGAAGGACTTGCATCGGTTGCTTCTTGAGACGCATGTCACGGAAGGGAAATTGACCTGTGGGAACTGTGGTCATTCATATATGATTAAGGAGGGAATTGCGAACTTCCTTCTTCCAAGCCACCTTGGTGAGAAATCTTCTTTTCCCTTGGGTATGTTCGTTTGCTAATATTCCTCCAGTCTGAACGACACAATCCCACATGCGCTTTTCACCAAAATAGCTTCGCAAATCGATACCCCAGGACTAGGAATGGTCTTCCTTCCTTTCCTTTCCCTTCTCTGAAAGACCCTATGCAGTGGCACGAAGGTTATCAGATATCCAAATCGGGTTCTTCTGGGATTTGACACATCTACGCTCTCACATCTCCTAAGACTGTGCTCCAGCGCCATGACTTGAAACGGAAAACAGGCGAAATTCTTTTGGAATTGGTATATTGTACAAGAGAGTTCGTAGTTTATGAAATCACGATTGCCATTGATAAATGCGTCAATGCTCCCACACTGAAAACGCCAGCCCGATTCAACGCCGCCCGGTAAATGGGAGTCAATATACCTCCCAAAGACTTTGGTAGATAGATCTCGGAAAGCGTTTTTTAATTAAGGAATCCCTTGCAGCCCGTTGAACCACAGAGACAGGGGATGCGGTCATCGCTGTCCCACTCTCTCTCGAATTTGTAGTCGTACGTTAACTCCTCATCTAATAGCTTTTGTTAGCATTTGTCTTTTCCTGCAAAGCCCGCGCGGGTCACAAACCTCTTTCAATATCCCTGAGCGCATAAATCACAATCCGTTTGCTACCATCTACCTTAATGATCTTGGCGGTGCAGTTTGGTGTACAGCTGTGATTGATGAATCGCGCAATTCCTCCTCTCTTTGTGGCATCGATGACGGTATTCTCGTCGATTCGGAAAAGATAACTGCTGCCGATCCCGCTCTTTAGGTATCGTCTTTCTCTCATGTCGGCGACCTGCTGACGCACTTTCTCTCCGACGTACTCAATGATCATGTCATTGGCAGTGATGTTTTCTTCGGCATACAAGCCCCAATTATGAATGGCAGAGCGAGCGAAGCGCACAGGCTTCTTGCGTTTCTTAAGCTGATTGAATCGAAGAACGTCTCCTTCGCCGTTCGCGGTGGGAAGGGCCTGCTTTTGTGCATTGATGTCTGCAATGAGCCGGCGGTTGTTGACTCGGGTTGACCGGGATGTCGATTTTGAGATTGTTTTGGCGGCTGCAATCCTGGCAGCCTCAGCTGCCGCTGCCTGGGGGTCTGCTTTGGCATTTGCTTCACGCTCTTCTCGAGCCTTCTGAACCTTGATCCGATGGGGCAGGTATTTGGATTTTTCTGCCTCGAGAATCCTTTTTCGGCCTTCCGTCCGCGCAGCGCCTGTGGTATTTGGCACATAATAGCCAGGGATACTGATAGCGTCCTGGGTCGTACCAGTTTCCAGGCCATTGAGAGCTTTGATCTCCTTTTGTTTCCAACCCCATGCAGCAAGATTTTGGATAATTGATTCTGACTGATCCAGTAGGATTTCCCGCAAAAATCGCAGGTCTTCATCATCCTTGACCAGGTTTTGCCAACCATCCAAATCAAGCACGATGTTTTCATCATCTTCCACCGTGGCGCGGGGCTCATCCTTGGAAACTGCCCATTCGATCTCTGTTCTCGGCTCATCGATAGGTTCGGCCTTCCCCGTTTCGCTGATCGAGAGGTCATCATCCTCGGGATGTTTGTAGGGGACATTCTCGGTGAATTGGTCTGCGGGTTGATCGTGCGTTGGTAATTTGTCGTCATCCTCTGCGAGGTCGTCATCAATAGCCGCGGGCGTTTCTAGCTCCTCAGTCGCATCCTCATATCCGAGTATTTCCGAGTCAATGCCAAACAGCTCTTCCTCCTGTCGCTGCCGCTTTCGTGCTTCTTCCTCTTCTGTCAGTCGCTTTCTCTTGCCTGACGTGGGAGACACCTGAAGTTCGTGGGAAAGATCGCTGGTTTCATTTGTGGCATCCAGGTCGTCCGCAAGTTGAGCGCTGCGTGATGATCCCAGATCATCCGACTGGTATCCCCCATCCCGTTCAAACTCCGATGACGTTGAACTTTCGCGACTAGGGGGACGGCTCTCTCGCTCATCGGCATCCCTAGTAGCAGGAGTGCGCTGCTCGTCGTCCGAATCTTCATCATCGTGCAGCTGCTGTAAACGATGATATAAGGGCCGGACTTCTTTCTTTCGAAGCGGTTGCCTACGCCGTTCGTCTAGGAAGGCAGCACCCGCATGGTCAAGACCATGGGCTTTACGGATACGAGGAAGAGCAAGGACATTCAGACCTGATGATCTGAGGGGATCTCGCCCGGCGGACATTTCGCCTCGAGAGCCAGGGGTGCTGTCGATTTGGAAAACAGATCGCTTTGTACCCTCGGGGTCTGAAATACCCAGCCTTTCCCTTTTAGCCGCATGTTTACTCGGTTCCAAATAGTCGTAAAGAGCCGGAGCAGCTATGCGTGACTTCACATCCTCGAGGAGCTTGTCCCTCAAGTCACGAATGATGATAGACAATACTTCTCGGCAAGGATCTAAATCAAGCGCCCGCTGCTTTTTTTCTTCTTCAAGATCCAATTCATCCTCTTTCTTTGTCCGATCTTTTTCGGCCTTGTTTCGTTGTTCGGTGCGAAGTCGTTCGGGGCTGGGACTCCGTTCGTAGTTTGGATTCCCGTAGGGCTGGCTCTCCATATTCATGATGTAGGTGAACAAGGGTTGCATGTGACATTGTCGGTAGCAGCGTTCAGTTTCCTCCTCGCCCCGGCGCGAGTTCTCGAAGATGATATAGTAGCCGGTTTTGTCACAACGGATATGCTTGTATCCAAAGAGTCTGAGTCTCTTTCTCAGGTGCGGAACCGTTGTGCTGAGAACTGGGACATAACAATGCGCAATGAAAATGTATGGATCGCGTTTGATCTGATTCAAGATAGGAGTTTCTTCGACCAATGATTGTATGACAGGGGATCGTGCAGCGGCCCTAGGACCCTCTGGGATAACGAGCCCCGGCCGTAGGGATGATCTGCCCGAGGGACCTTTGGGCGCAGTCGGTGGTGGTTCGCTTTTCTTTATCTGGACATCCGGTCTCGGTTCGATTGCGGGAGGAAGGCTAATCTTGGAAGCCTGTCGCTGGGACTCGACTGCTTTCGCGGCCATTCGATTTGAGACAACCCCGTCGCGATCCAGCTCCACCCTAATCCTGCGCGTGCCAATGCGTTGTTCTTTTTTGCATTCGAAATATGCACGTCGGGCTGCGCTAGATGCTGACGCTGACCCATTTCCCCGAGCTGAGGTGCTATCTTTGTATTTGATGGAGCAGATCCCCAGAAACCGGCCGGTGATGGGGTCTGTGCGGTTTTTGATTTCGGCCACATCTCCAAAGCTCGAGAAAAGTGCGCTGATCGGGGCAATCGGGGTCAAAGGGTCGAATCCCGTCACCACGACCTGAATCGGAGGCCCGGGACCAATGCTGGTTGCCACATCGTATGACCATGGTCGCAGATTGTAAGGCGCGGGTCGGTATTTTGTCTTCTGCTTGCAGCCGGATCCACGGGTATAATTGGCAATCGCACGACGAGGATCGGGTGCGGGATCGGCTTGGCCATTATTCACGATGTCCACATACTCGAGCTTTTTCCGCTTTTCCTTTGACGAGGTCCGCTTGTCCAGATCGGGGTCGTAGACAACCTTGCAGCCTGTCACACGGAGCTCGACGTGTCGAGTTTGCGACTGAGGGGTAGGAGGGGTGTCTATTGGGGTGATGGAAGGTTTGGTGACATCAGGATTCGGCCTGGAAGAAGTGCCCGGAGAGCCTCCGCCTGGTATCTTTGGCTGTGATGGACTGGTTACTTTGCAAAGGGGCGATGACTCCGCATTGGTGAGCGGTGTCAGCGTATCGATTGGTGGGACGTGATTTGCCGTGGGTGGTGGAGGTAGCCCAATCCTATCCTCTGCGCTTTTCGCCTTGGCGAAAATGGTCAATCCAAGCTCGTTGGGAACCGATGGAGTGCGAGCTCCCCCCTCGTCTGTATCAATTTTGACGGGCGTCTCAACGGGCGCGGGGGTGCTCGAGGCAAGAGACACTAGACGATCCGGAGTCTTTTCGGAAATTTGATCACCCTCGACATGTAATTTCCGGCGTTCCTGCGCTGTTTTGAAGCGCTTCTGTTGAAGGACAGATGGTGCGGTGGGGAAGAAGTCTGCAAAGCCGGCCGAGGCGCGTGACATAGTGAGAGGTTGGCTACACGCCAGAGACCGTGGCGCGATCAGAAGGCAGCATCCTTGACAGTCGTGATCCGGCTATTGCGAACACATGCGACCGAGAAGGTCCCGGCACGGCAGAATTGAGGAAATTGAGATGAAGGGGCTTTTACAGAAGTGCCAATGTCAAAGAAGGGATGAGAAAACAAAAGAGATGACAAGAAAAAGGGAGACCGAAAAGCGATATCCAGGAGCTGTTGAATCTGCGGAGGTGCCGTTACGCGCAACTCAAGAGTTTGCAGGAGGCTAAGACGCGATCGAGCGGAAGGAAGTGGAATGGTGGGGACGCGGGAGTTTGAACTTCACGCTTTCAAGGGATATGAACTCCTGTAAGGAAAGAAAGAAAAGGACGTGAAATAGATCGAATATGATTAGGTATGATGTGGTGAAGTTCAAGTTCAAGTTCCCCGGGGGCCGTTTAGTGACTGAATGATTCAGCAATTCTTTTTTTTTTGGCCTTGAAAGGATCCCCAGTGACCTCACCGCGACTTAATAACTCACTACAATAACGCCCACAGTTGAGGTACCTAGTAAGTATCTTTGGGCACTCATTGGGGAAATCATTGATCTTTCATTATCTTATTGCTATTGGAGATGATTGTTAATAGTAGCCTTGGTATTGATCTCGTCAATAGGTTGTACTAAAAACAAGCCCAAAATTCATGTCTTGAATGGTTCCATAGTCTGATAATAGGGGATTCTTGCTTGCACCCTCACAACCCCCCCTGCCTGAAATTTCAGTACCGCCTTCCTAATTTGGTTGAGCATCTGCCTCGACACTTTGCTTCTGCATACCGCTCTCCTCACCGCCTCCTCATATCTACGCCGCTTTTGTATCAAACTGCATAGGATAGTAGCAAGACAGCAGGTACGTATGGTTTGTATGTAAACTCCTAATAAAATTCAGTCACTCATACATGTAAGCCAGAAGTGGGCAGAATACGTAGCTGAAAAAATAAATTATGGCAGAAATATGGCAGAATTCTGAGTGGTACCTGATCAGGAAGGCGGTCCAGGGATTTCATGCGAGCAACAATTCCCGATATATATACGGAGTACGTTTGAACATGTATCGGATTCGAATATAGAGTAGTATACATAATACAACATATATCCCTGCGTATGTCTCGGACTTTGCCGCTTTTATTAGGGTCATCCTACCTCTTCTTCCGCCTACGAACAGAGAAAGCGGTGAGAGGTGACCCTAAAATTAAGCATGGCTCCCCCACCCAACTTTCTCCCTTCAACCAGTCACACTCATCCATCATCAACGAATTGCACGCATCCATCATCAACTAGTCGCGCTCATCCACTGTCACAGCTGATTCGGACGCCGTACTTTTACTGGAACTGCCACACCCTCCAGACTGGGCCCAAGCGCACTCCAACCTGACCCCAAGCGCACTTCAACCTAGGTAATTGACAGAATGTCATTATCTATGACAGTAAGTCCTTCTGTGCCTTCTAGTATTTTCGATACTAATAATCAAGCTAGGAGCTGAATCGAAAGTTGAATGGTTACGTACCACTTAAGCCTACGGACAGAACCAAGTACTTTCTCCGTGACTTTTATAAGACCCTTCCTCCTGATGGAAAAGAAAATCTGGCGCAGGATATTTCAGGGTGTGAAAACGATGAGACACTTCGGCAACTCGTCCAAAGTATTCGGACTGGTTTGCTGGTTCCCTTGAAAGCACAGGGTGGTAAAACACCCACTGAAATCACTCCGTCTCCGCGTTCTGGTATTGAAGATTCAATCGAGGATCTTAAGAGCCAAAACATCGAACCTATTAGCAGAAGTTATCAGTCGCAACTCCGGAACCACTGTTTAGAAAGAGATGGTAATAAATGTCTTGCAACGGGGATGTACAGTCAGGCCCATGCCTACCCACCGAACGTACTTACGACCTCCCTTGAAGCAGCTCATATTATTCCATTTGCATTTGGATCCTTTCAGGCCAATAACAGCGAGTCAGTGGATCGAAATACGAAGATCTGGGTCAACCTAAGACGCTACTTCCCAGCTCTTCGTAACATGTCCTTCACCCCAGAACAGATTAATTCAGAAAAGAATATCCTAATGCTAGACGCCGAAATTCATAAGGAATTCGGACAATTCAGAATTATCTTTGAAGCGACCGGAGTTACTCATCAATATCGGATCAAGACCTTTTCGGGCATCAGCACAAGGACATTGAGAGATTTACCTCAAAGTCGGCTTGTCTATTTCACAGTTCATAATGGAAGTTGGGAACTTCCAGATCCTCAAATTCTCGAAATGCATGCTTGCATTGGAAAATTCCTACATATGAGTGGCCAGGCGGAGGTGATCGACAAGATCCTAGAAGATTTTGCAGACTGTGGTGGGCTTGCCCCGAGTGGAAGCACCAATATCGCAGACCTTCTTGCAGTGAGCTGCCTCGCAGTCCTATGTTGAAGTCGTTCAACTTTTCAGTCACAATCCACTTGCTTCATTGTGTACTCCCAATGCCGGTCTCCCACCGATTCTCCTTGTCTGCCTCGGTCTTACCACGAGAGAAGAATTCCGTTAATATTGATACTTGTTCATCCTCAATTTCGATGTTATTTTTAATGGCGGACACCAGAGACGTGACATGCTACATTTGATGAAGAACCATTTGCCCAACCGAGGTGGAAAGCAAAACAGTTATTTGTACTTCCTCCTTTTACACATCAAGTACACCTAAGATCTCCATTATGACCAGATAAATCCTATCCTATCTTCCCCAATCAATTCTATGTCCGTGCTTTGACAGCCATCCAACGGGCCTAGTCTCTCTTGGAAGCAGAATCTAGAGCTCCCAGATCTGCGTCCTCTACTCCGTATATAGAGAACAAACCCACATCTAGACGGCAAACGGTCATCCGGGGAAAGCGTTATCTATACAGTGGTCGAAGGAATATGAATTCAGATAGGGCTTGCGTTATATATTATGACTTCAGGGGAAATCTAGGCGCTCGGTCCATGTGGACAGTTCCACGAAAGATACAGAAGTGGATGGCTGATGGAGTAGAATAAATGTCCACTTCGCCGAGAGAAATGGCTTTAGTCGATAGGCGTATAGAGGCATATATCATTGTTTTTCGTGGAGGGGTATTTTGCAGCCGAGAGACATATAACTACATATGGTTTCATGTAGAAGGCATGTTGTCAGAAGTACATAAACAGATCTTCAATGCACTGCAATGTGGCGGGAGAGGAAAACGAGGTGGAGTTCAGGGAAGACGAGGAAGATGCTTCCATATCCAATCATGTACCTAGGTCATCGAAGTCGGAAGAGATCTTCTGGTGGGCCCATAGTGCCCTCAAGCCGACTGCAAGACTGAGCTGTACGGAGTAGTTAGTTAGTCTTTATCATGAGCCAATTCCCGTTTTTTCTTGGACTGGATATTGAACTCGTCAAATTGGAAGGGCTTTACAGGCATAAGTTATAATCAAAAATTATTCCAATTTTCAAAGAGAGCCAACTTTTTTGCGGTTCCAAGGTCGGATATACCGCCACATTATGTAAGACGCCAGCCAGCCTCCGTTACAACACAGTTAACTAAGGATGTTAGTATGAACTAGCGTGTGGTGAGCACTATGTCAAAGTTCCAGGCTAATCTCGGACTTAGTGAGTGAGCCCTGTCATAGAAATCCATGGAACGATTGGAACCAACGAGAATATTCGTTGAGGAGAGATGCTTGAGGAGAATAATACCCCATACCGCGCTTATGGGGACTTCCAAATCCGGGTGCCCGAGTATCAGGTGATTCCCTACGTCCATGGATCATCGTCAGTGAGCCCGGCGAGTTCAAGGCTTATGTAAGAATCAGGGGTCTCAGCAAGGGGAAGGGGAAGCGAAAACCGGAATATGCACAACGATGTAATTAAATATGTATGGAGTAGATATGATGTTATGGCGGGGAATATAGTTATCATTCAAGCCTCCTAGTACTATTTACATAGTTATAGCACTGCATCAGCCCTGCCTCTTTTTTTTTTCTCCTCGCTTGTATGAGGCTGATATCTCAGCTTATCCACATCAACCTACGGAGTACTTCGTATAAAGTAGCGTAGTGGGTAGTCCCTCTCAGCCGCCGTTGTGTATGAACCGAAGAAATATATCTGAACCGGGCAATTAATTGCGAGGGACCAATCGTACATGTGTATATGCAGTTGGCGAGACCGAGCCAAGGGGTATTTTTGCATAAAAACAATTAAAATCGGTAAAACAGCAACTGCAAAGGCGTGGAACGTCTGTCGAACCTTTCCAAGGTTCTTTTTTTCTCAGGGGATCCTCCCACTAAGGAATGCGCCGGGCCACTAAAAGATATAATTAGAGATTTTCCCCCGTATGTTTTTTTTTTGGGACTTTCAAAGCTCCGCCACTGCTTTGCTTCGCCTGCTAGCTCCGATCTAGCGTGAATATACGGCGAAGATCAGACCGATATAGGACCCCGGCACTACCAATATAGACCCCGGGACTCAGATTGCCAAGAAAAGGAGAAAAAAAAAAGGTACTATTTATTTACTTGCTATTATTAACACCAACGTCAATGGAAATATTTAATATTTATTTTTAACAATGTTCACGAAATAAACATCAAATAATATGCCAAGTGAGACATTCGATTCCCCTAACAACCAGCATTGGCCCGAGCATTCTCCTCATTGGACGAAAGCTTGCACAAAGTGAAAGAGCTAATAATAATCCGCCCCTCCCCCTACCCTCTCTGTTCTTGCCCCCCTCTACAACTTATAAATACGAAACTCCTGTGCCTTCTTTGCATCTTTCTATCTTGTCTCCTCTCTCTGCTGCTTTTAATTCCCCCTGACAATCTTTATTCTCTCACTACCATTGTCTTTGCATTCACTTTTTGCTTTTGCCCATCATGTGGTAAGCTCTGGTCTACCATCCATGGTTGAAGTATCCATGCTCACAGTTCTTAGTGGAATCTTCGGCTACATCAACTACCTCGTGGAGAAGGACCGCAGGTTCATCATTGACACACTGCTTAATGGTGAGTCGCCAAGTGTGATTCAATGATTTTAGCCTTTTGCTCACCGTTATTTCCCCAGGCCTCTCCAGGTTGGAATACCGTGGCTACGACTCGGCTGGTTTGGCCGTCGATGGCAACAAGAAAAATGAAGTCTGCGCATTCAAGGAAGTCGGCAAGGTGGCCAAGTTGAAGGAACTCATCGATCAGAGCACATATGACATGACCAAGACCTTCGAGTCTCATGCTGGTATCTCTCACACCCGTTGGGCTACTCACGGTACCCCTTCCCGCCAGAACTGCCACCCCCACCGGTAAGTCCCAGAAAACACCCCCCCCGGATGATGGAGAGAAGATAGAGAAGCTAATTGGATGGTCGAACAGTTCTGATCCCACCTGGGAGTTCTCCGTCGTGCACAACGGTATCATCACCAACTATAAGGAATTGAAGGCTCTGCTAGAGAGCAAGGGTTTCCGCTTCGAGACCGAGACCGATACCGAGTGCATTGCCAAGCTCGCCAAGTACCTTTACGACCAACACCCCGACATCGAATTCACAGTCCTCGCCAAGGCCGTCATCAAAGAGCTTGAGGGTGCCTTCGGTTTGCTGCTCAAGTCGGTCCACTACCCCCATGAGGTTATTGCGGCCCGTAAGGGTTCGCCCCTAGTCATCGGTGTCAAGACCTCCAAGAAGATGAAGGTGGATTTTGTCGATGTTGAATACTCGGAAGAAGGTGTCCTTTCCGCGGAGCAGGCCTCCCAGAATGCGGCCGCCAAGAAGTCTGCCACAAGCCTCCTTGCCCCCCCCGACAAGTCACTGTTGCACCGCTCCCAGTCGCGGGCATTCCTGTCCGATGATGGCATCCCCCAGCCCGTGGAGTTCTTCTTGTCTTCTGACCCATCTGCCATTGTGGAGCACACCAAGAAGGTGCTCTACCTGGAGGATGACGATATCGCTCACATCCACGAGGGACAACTCAACATCCACCGTCTGACCAAGGATGATGGCACCTCCAACGTCCGTGCCATCCAGACCATTGAGCTCGAATTGCAGGAGATCATGAAGGGCAAGTTCGATCACTTCATGCAGAAGGAGATCTTCGAGCAGCCCGAGTCTGTCGTCAACACTATGAGAGGTCGTCTGGATGTAGCCAACAAGAAGGTCACCCTCGGTGGTCTCCGCCAGTACATCTCGACCATTCGTCGCTGCCGGCGAATCATCTTCATTGCCTGCGGAACGAGCTACCACTCATGCATGGCTGTGCGTGGTATCTTCGAAGAGCTCACTGAGATTCCGATCGCAGTCGAGCTCGCCTCCGACTTCCTCGACCGACAGGCCCCAGTCTTCCGTGATGACACCTGTGTGTTTGTCTCTCAATCTGGAGAGACCGCTGATTCCCTGATGGCTCTTCGCTACTGTCTGGAACGTGGCGCTCTGACCGTCGGTTGTGTCAACGTTGTCGGATCTTCCATCTCTCTCCTCACCCACTGCGGTGTGCACATTAATGCTGGTCCCGAGATCGGTGTGGCCTCGACCAAGGCATACACTTCTCAGTTTGTTGCCATGGTCATGTTCGCTTTGTCGCTGAGTGAGGATCGTGCCTCTAAGCAGGACCGACGTGAGGAGATCATGGAGGGTCTTGGACAGATCTCCGAGCAGTTCAAGGAGATCTTGAAACTCAACGACCCCATCAAGGAGCTGTGTGCCAAGTTCTTCAAGAACCAGAAAAGTTTGCTGCTGTTGGGCCGTGGTGCTCAATTCCCCACTGCTCTTGAGGGTGCTTTGAAGATCAAGGAAATCTCATACCTCCACTGCGAGGCCGTCATGTCCGGCGAACTGAAGCACGGTGTTTTGGCTCTTGTTGACGAGAACCTTCCCATTATCATGATCCTCACCCGTGACAGACTCTTCACTAAGTCCTTGAACGCCTACCAGCAGGTCATTGCTCGTGGTGGTCGCCCAATTGTCATCTGCAACGAAGACGACCCCGAGTTCTCCGATGCCCTGACCGAGAAGATCAACGTCCCCAAGACTGTGGATTGTCTTCAGGGTCTGCTCAATGTGATCCCATTGCAGCTGATATCTTACTGGCTTGCCGTTGGCGAGGGATTGAATGTCGATTTCCCTCGTAACCTGGCTAAGTCGGTCACTGTCGAGTAAATGTTTCTTTAGGGCAAGGTTAGACGATTCTTATGATCCGGTCATCTTTTTATTTTTAGGTGTTTTCAGCTTCGGGACAATGGAATCTCGTTTTGTTTTTTCAATCATCTTTCTTTGAATCCAATGCCTATTAGTATTTTTTAGTTAAGAATCAGTGTCCAGCTTTATAAACCGAATTGACCGTAGAAGCATTCCACAGGCCAATTGCGCTCAATTGCCGTGGGTGATGACATTCCGCCTTCCCCCGCCAAATGCGGGACCGAGGGATTTCGCCCCTCGAGCCTCGAGCTCTGATTCCTAAACACTTGTGTCAAGCTCAATTCTTCCAATCTTCAGGAAACAACATCATCTTTCTCGGACGCCCCTCTCAACAAAAATGACTACCATCAAAGGCCCCGGCGCAGCCCAGACCCACGATGGTAAAACCGAACAACAGCCCTTGGAGAAACACCCCCAGCTAATACCGATTCCACCACAGGCTCCGGACTCCGCGTGGCGATCGTGCACGCCAGATGGAACACAGTGATCATTGACCAGCTGGTATCGGGAGCGAAGAAGAACTTGCTCGCTGCCGGCGTGCTGCCGGAGAACATCACAGTCCAGACAGTTCCTGGTAGCTACGAGCTGCCGCTTGCGGTGCAACGGTGAGTGCGGGGATGATATCTCACACATGACATTGTATACTGTATACGACTGCATACTTTATAGTATACTGTATACTATGCGCTGTAGTGCTGTGTGCTGTGTGCTTGCTGTATCTGCCCGTGATAGCGTTGACTAACACTACTTGACATCCAGCCTCTACGCCGCATCCCAGCTCCAGGCCAACTCCTCCTCCACGCAGGGCACCAGCGCCACGGACCTCCTGTCCTCGCCAACAGCCGAAGTATCCGGCTCGACCAACTTCGCCAGCCCGAAGAAACCCTTCGATGCGATCATCGCCATCGGCGTGCTCATCAAGGGCGCAACCATGCACTTCGAATACATCGCCGACGCCGTCAGCCAGGGACTCATGCGTGTGCAGCTTGATTCGGGTGTCCCTGTTATCTTTGGCTTGCTTACTGTTTTGACGGAGCAGCAGGGATTGGAGCGTGCTGGGCTTGGGAATGGTCATATGCATAACCATGGTGAGGACTGGGGAAGTGCGGCTGTGGAATTGGGTCTTAAGCGCAAGGAGTGGGCTGAGGGTAAGATTTTGTAGAGGTACTTTGGAAGAGAGGCTGGGGGCTACGATGGGACCCTCTGATATATTTGGTGTGGCTTTTTGGAACCTGAATAACATAACTTGGTCCGTTGTGGGAGATTGTTTTTGGAGTAAGAAAGGGAACATCTTTCACAGAACCATAATTCTTGGGGAGCATAATCTATTACATGTTCACTCTTCCATCTGTTCGCCTTGACCCTTGTCCTCCTCTTCTTCGTCATCCCCTTCCAAAGACCGCTTTGCTGCTTTCTCTGCTTCCTCGAGGAGCTCCTTGGGCACTTCCTCGTGGCGGCCCTTGGTCGGTCCGTCGACCGAGCTGATCCACGTCATCTCGAGCTCGAAGTCCTTGTCCTTGCTGTCCTCGTGGGAGACATAGATAATGCGGGCAGCTTCCTTCACGCCATCTAGCAAAGACAGATTGCCCGAGGTCAGGTCTAGTTTCTCGAGTTCGGCTTTGGCGGCCTGTCGTCCCTTTCCAGTAGCAGCACCGTAGTAGCCCTATAAATACTTGTCAGCATATTCAAACACCCACACAGCAAACAAGTCGCAACGTACCCAATACAGTCCACTAGGCTCGATCATGTATAGGCCAGGGCCTCCAGCCTTGGCACCCTCGATCTTTCCACCGGAGCCAGACTTGGGTCCATTGCCGACCTGTCCATCAACTGGAAGCTCCGCCTCGGTATCCCAGCCACCAACAATAGCAGTTACACCGAAGGGCCGTACACTGGAGTAAAGAGTGTAGGCCTGAACATACCCACCCAAGCGATTGGCCAGCGCAGCGGTCGGAATGGGACCTTTGTATGTGCCTCTCCAGGAGGAAGCTTCATCTCTAGCTCTGGAAACAAAGTGACGGCCGTCGGGGACGAGTCCAGCGGATACCTGTGGTAGAAAGAAGACAGATTAGCAACGGATACTTGAAGCCTTCCCTGGTAGCATGCTTTTGATAAAAACGTATTTCGTCGGGGAGAGGCGACAGGGAGAAAGGGAAGTAGGTCTCACAATTCCGACATGGCGATCGACTGTTGCGATTCTCTTGTTCGCGCCTGGCTTTAGGAGCTTGCTAGTGATGATCTTCTCCACTGCCAACACTACACCATCATTGCATCTGATGCCGATAGCGGTACCTCCGTTCTCAACTGCCTTGACGGCATATTCAACCTAGATGGTATGGTCAGCCGAAGCTGTTCCGTGGCTCATTCATGAGCTGGGTTGTGTTTGGTTACCTGGAAATTCCGGCCGTCTGGCGAGAACACCGAGTTGGAGAGATCGTAGCCTGTGCCGATTGACGTCTAAATAATCACTCTGTTAGCTTGATCGGGATACAGCATAGTACATTGTGTGGATCCGAAGCTGACTGACCATGATTTTGGTGAGGATGCGATGCGGTGAGGTTCAAGGACAATAGACGTCACCGTGGGTAGGCCGGGGGATCGAAAGAGGTAATCTGTATTGGACAGATAAGGGAGGAGAATGGCCGGTTTGGAGGGAGACTATGGATAGGTAGGGTGAGGTTGGAAGCTCTGGGGATGATAACGGAGGTTCCTAGGCTAAGCAGTGACGCTGTCGCGTCACGGGGTTGCCTGGCAGAGCTTCCAGTCACATGACCATGGGGTACCTAATTGGTACTTTGATTTGTATGTCTTCTCTACAAGCTTTTGGAGTACTACTTCAGTACCTTGTAGTATTGGATGTATTGGATGTATCATGGACACAGCGCGAACACACTGTGGGCATATATGGACCCATTATGGATCGATTACAGGCATAAAATGCAGTATAACATTTGAGCATCTCCTACTGGCCCTCGGACTGCAGCCCAACCGAGCAAGCACTTGGGCATCTTTGCCCCTCGATCTAAACAAAAGACACAAACTCTCTGAATCCTTTCTCGTATTCAGTTTTAGAGGGAAAAACTTCTGAATCGATTCTGCCATTTTCCCATTTTCCCATTCATTCGGATATCGTCGAGCTATACAGAAATCTACCCCTCCATGTCCTCCTCGATACTACATCAGTGCCCGCACTGCGGGCACGTCTCCGATATCTCAAATGCGCTCACAGCCTTCATCGAGAACCCTCACTGTAAACAGGTAGATGGTGCTCGCTCTTACATGTTATGCCAAGGAACCTGACCCAGGGGCATATATATATCTAGTGCGGCATGTCTGCTTCCGAAGGCGAGTCGAAAGTGCAAGACGAACTTTCAGCTCTGTTCGATAGACAAATGAGTATGACACAGCTGCAGCCCGCCCCTAGAGAAACTGTCGTACCACCTCAAGCGCCACAAATTGCATACAGCATTACCCAACACTACCACCACTCGGCCCACAGAGTCGCCCAGCACACAAACCAGCCCCAGCACACAAACCAGCCTTCAAGCGTTGATGTTCTGAGACATCACGGTCTTGATCCAAATGCCCTTACCCCGGACCAGCTTATGCTCTTCGAGAACGCCGAAGCGGAACAGAGAGAACGATTGATTCAAACATGGCGGCTCTACTCGCAGTTTGGGAATGAAGCCGCCACTGCCGGGGACTTTGCTATGCATGATTCTGCTATGGACCACAGTGAAGATGGGAATGCCTATGCTGATGCTGAACCCTACATGGTGTCGGGCTACGGGAACGTTGCCAATCAAGCCTCTCATATCCCGAAAGAGCCTACCACTGGTGAATCATATGCTGGCTCAAAGGACCCGGTGTATCAAGGTCAGCAATGGTGGGAGTTGACAAAAGCCGGTCCGATGGAGTCGAACTATGGCGCATTTGAAGAGATGAGACGATATTACCCCAGCTGTGGTGTATACCACCATTAGTTCTGTTAAAATAGATCTATTGGAACGAATTTCTTTTGTAAGTATCATATTATTGTTATCCTTGCCTCTACATGCCCTAACTAGCATAAACACTTACCAATTAGCTATCCAATTACTCCCTCGGTCGAAGGGATATATACCAAATTTAGGTCACCCGAGTTAACCGGTACTTTTTGTCTTTTGGAATTCTGATTTGGAATGTTATTTGAGAGGAGATGGAATTATTTGGTTCTAGATACATATTTATTTGCGTAGTGATCCATCAACCCTCACAATTCAAGTGCTGATTTAATCAGAAACCAATGCCACCTGGGCATGACCAACGGTGAATATAAAGGAGTGTTCGCCATTGGCATTTCATAAACCAATCCATCTTAACTATGCCAATTGGCTTCCAAAAGCTCTCATACCGAAAAGTAATCGACGGTGTTGTGCATATCGATAATTGAAAAGAGAGCTATCGAGCAATCTCTATCGATGTTGCAGCACCACGGAATTCATTGTATAGGAGACACTGGGAAAAGTCAGTAATTGAATCCATGCACAGGACAGATGGAACTGTATCATACCTTTACTCCTCTTCCTCTTCCTCGAGGGCAGCCATGGCATAAGCGAGAGCGTCGGCGGTACGCTTGACCTCATCGACGGCATCGGCGGCACGCTTGGCCTTGTAGCAGCCCTGGCCAATGTGGCCACACCACTTCTGAAGAACAAGGGGCAGATTCTTGGCCATGGCCTCGGCGAGAGCATCGGCAGAGCGCTTGACATCGACGGAGGCATCGGTGGTCCGCTTGCAGCCCTGGCCGATGTGGCCACACCACTTGGGGAGAGTTGTTTGAGGAGTAGCGGCAGCCTGGACGGTGCCAGCGGCGAGAACCGCGATGACGACGGAGGTGAACTTCATCTTGATGGTTGAAGGAGAAACGGGGGTTTGAAATTGAAAGTTGGTTTGAGGAGCGAAAGACAGATACTGAGATAGCTCGATGATGGAGATGTCTGGAGAAAAGAAAGCAGAACGAGGAACAGCCAGGTTTATATATTCTTAAAGATCAGGATCATCGTTGGCTCAATAGTAGTCTCGTTATTGAGAAGAGCATGTTGGGCCGGAGTTCGGAGATTCCTTTACTCTGAATAGAGACACGGTCCTGAATAGAGCTCTTTGTCAAGGAACATTAACCCAAATAGAGGCACTGCTCGAGATCGGCACTGTTTGATCCACCGTGAATAGGGTTCTTATTGACAACCCTTAGCTTGCCTCCTCAATAAGGAACTCTGTCTCGTATAGAGGGTCCGGGGCAAGCCATAATTTGGAATGCTTTGACAAACAGATGGGCTGATAAGCCCAGTGGATTGAACTAGAGTATATTAGTTAAGATGGTAGATATGTTCTTTTGTTCGAGTTGACCACTTGACCTGAGGTATGTGATATTCGAGGACCAGAAGAGGATCTGAATAAGAATTGACCAAAGAAAGTTAGTTCCGGGGAATAAGTGAATAAGAATGCCAAGCTCATATGAGATTTCATTGTTTCATTGTAGCTGTAGTATGTCTAGTGTCGTGTAGGTAGTGTAGGTAGTGTAGGAGTGGACATACTGCCCAGCCCAAGTGATCCATTCAGATAAGATCGGGCCGGCGCTAACCACAAGTCGCTCGATGCCGAGCCCATCCGGAGCCTTTTCTCCCGTTTTCACGCTTCCCTTTTCCAACCCCCTCTCACTTCGATTCATACCTCACCCAATCTCTTTGTTTAAATATCCAATCACTCGAAAATGTTCTCCAGAACCGCACAGCCTGCACGGGTAAGTTCCTCCCTGGTTTTGCTTTTTCTCGGTTTCCGCGTTTCCGCGTTTCCGTGATCTCAGTCCTTTGCAAGGGAGTTAGTGGCAGCTTCGCTAACCTGTCTCTGCTCTCTATAGACTCTGCTCAGCAGTGCTTCCGCAGCTTCATCTGTCGGCCGCTCTGTTCCCGCCAGATGTACGCCCATTAAAATTCCCTGACGTGCATCAAAATCCATCCCCGCTAACCCATTTACCCAGCCTTCGCTAGTGTTCAGTCGGATATCTTCAAGCCCACCAAGTACGGTGGCAAGTACACCGTGACCCTCATCCCTGGTATGCTTCACATGTTTTGCGCCTTCTCCGCTGTCATGGCGCACGCTCTTGAACTAACACTCGACAAGGTGACGGTATCGGTGCTGAGGTTGCCGAATCAGTCAAAACCATCTTCAAGGCTGACAACGTTCCCATTGAGTGGGAGCAGGTCGACGTTAGCGGTGTCGATGCCGGTAACAAGCACTCCGAGGAGCTCTTCCGCGAGTCCCTGGCTTCCCTCAAGCGCAACAAGCTCGGCCTAAAGGGTATTCTCCACACTCCCATTGAGCGCTCGGGCCACCAGTCCTTCAACGTTGCCCTGCGTCAGGAGTTGGACATCTACGCCTCCATCTCTCTGATCAAGAACATCCCCGGTTACGAGACCCGCCACAAGAACGTCGACCTCTGCATCATCCGTGAGAACACCGAGGGTGAGTACTCCGGCCTCGAGCACCAGTCCGTCAACGGAGTTGTCGAGTCCTTGAAGATCATCACTCGCGCCAAGTCTGAGCGTATCGCCAAGTTCGCCTTCAGCTTCGCCCTTGCCAACAACCGCAAGAAGGTTACCTGCATCCACAAGGCCAACATCATGAAGTTGGCCGATGGTCTCTTCCGCAGCACATTCCACAAGGTCGCCGAGGACTACCCCACCCTGGAGGTGAACGACATGATTGTGGACAACGCTTCCATGCAGGCTGTGTCCCGTCCCCAGCAGTTCGACGTTTTGGTCATGCCCAACCTTTACGGTGGCATTCTGTCCAACGTTGGCGCTGCCCTCGTTGGTGGACCCGGTGTTGTCCCCGGTTGCAGCATGGGTCGTGACGTTGCTGTCTTCGAGCCCGGCTGCCGTCACGTCGGCCTTGACATCAAGGGCAAGGACCAGGCCAACCCCAGTGCCATGATCCTGTCCGGCTCCATGCTCCTGCGCCACCTCGGTCTCGATGACCACGCCAACCGCATTTCCAAGGCTGTCTACGATGTTATCGGTGAAGGGTGAGTGAACGCCAATACCGTTATGAAAAATGACAATGCTGACTTCCTTCTTTTAGCAACGTTATGACCCGCGACATGGGTGGTCGTGCTACCACTCACGAGTTCACCCGGGCTGTTTTGGACAAGATGGAGGCGGCTCTGTAAATTTTGGAACCCCCCTCACTCCAATATACCTACCGCTACGATTGAGGATGTTGCTTGCTGATTCTTGCATTGTGCTCTGCACACCGTGAATTGGTCGGTGTCGTCTTCACTTGATGTATTATCTTTCCTTTCAATTTAGCTCGACACGTTCCCTCGCAAGTTATAGCAATAGACTATTTTTCTTTTGTTCATAACGAGGACATTCATTGCATTATTAATTGGGTATAAACATCGTGAATCTTCTTCAATAGGCCAGTCTCATATCGTGCCCAGAAGGTAGAGAGCTCATCCTCCAAGCCTCCAACCCATTGCGAGGCCTCTAGCAGGCACCTCACGATCGACTAATTTAACCCGAGTCGAACTTGTAGGTACCCTATGGGCTTCCCGGCAAGACAATCCGAATAACGCCCAAAGGAATGCGCATACACAGACAGAATGGGTGAAAGCTATGTACTTCGGGAGAATGACTTGAAGACTCCTTTCATCCGGGCTTTTTCTCCTTTTCTCCTTTTTTTCGTTTCTCTTTTTGATTGGATCCGACAAAGACGAACATCGGTGCCCGTAAACAAAGCAGTCCGATCAGAAAGCGATTCGTCGTTTGCGGCCGGTGTATTTCGAGCTAGCCTTGACGACCTTGCCCTTCTTCGCCATCTGCTCCTTTTTGTTCATAATCCAAGCCTTGTCTCCCTTCCTCGGAGGTCCACGGGCATTATTGATCTCCGTAGCCTTCCGCCGAGCATCCAAGATATTGACATCATCCATGCCATTCACAACCCCCGTAATATCACCGGGCAGACCGCCGCCACCAACAGTCAGAACCAGGTACAACTTGCTGCTCTTAGTCCCGGGGTCATCTTCAAGGATACCCGCACCAAAGCCAGCTTTGATTGCAGCCCCACTGATCATACTCCGCTGGACATCATTCTTCGGGTAGAACTGACACACCGCACGTCCACCCCGACGAAGACTAGCGTACAGACCTTCGAAGAAGCGTCGCAGTCGACCTTCAGCAGTGACATCGCTGGTTTCCGCATTGCACAGCCACTGGATCGCACTGATGCTGATTGCGGCGTCGAATGTGCCCGGCCGGAAGGGAACTCCCTGACCGATATCCGCGAGGAATAGATCGCCTTCTACTTCGCGTTGTAAAGCCACGTCCAACATGCTGGGTGAAATATCCATGCCGACCCATGTGTGCGGGCCGCCGTCTTCGGGCTCGACTTCGGAGAGCATTTCGCCGGAGAGTCCGGAGCCGCAGCCGAGATCGAGGATGAAGGATGGCGATTTTAGGTCGAGGAGTTCCAGTGCGCGACTGGTCATGCTGGCTTGGATGTTGCGAATTCGCGACGACTTTGTATACTTTCGAGATTCATTGTCATTGTAGAACAGGTCCGGAGGGCTGTAGTTTTCGAGATGCGATGTTAGTTTTTTTTTCCTTCTTCATGATATATGCAGCAGAGTCATGCGGTCATACAGGGTATCTTCAGGGCGCGACATGGTGTGTGGTATTGAATGTGCAAGTTGCGTTGCGAGTTGAAGTTCAGAAATTCATTAAATTATTTTTGGTGGCGCTGCCTGAGGCATCCGTACCCCAAAACCGTCCACGTTTCTCCGATTGCATCTCGAATCTCTCTCTCTGGGGCTGATTGCCTCCCGCCTTACTTTTCAACACTATCAGCGCTCGACAGCTTTGTATACACTGCGCGTCATGTGGATTTTACCGCTAGTCGGATATTTCGGGGTGGTTGTCGGGTTTGCGTTTCTCACCTTGGCTATAGGTATGGGACATGGAGTCCTGACATGAATGGGCAAAAGCTGACTTGGAAACTCCAGCTTCGGGACTCTACTATCTATCCGAGCTCGTGGAAGAACACACGGTTATCGCCCGCCGTCTGTTGACCCGTTTGATCTACGGCATCGTCGCGATACAAGTTCTGCTTATGATATTTGACCGTTTCCCCGTGTCACTATCTCTGCTCAGCATTGGTTCGCACATGGTCTACGCTAGCAATCTGCGCCGATTCCCCATCGTGAAACTATCCGATCCTCTTTTCCTTCTATCCTGCCTTCTAGTTGGTCTTAACCACTGGCTATGGTTCCGCCACTTCTCGAAGCCCTTGCCTCCGTCGAACAACTGGCGTCAACCGTATGGAGTCAATTACGATGAGATGCCCTCTTTCTCTGAAGTGGCCTCATACTTTGGGCTGTGCATTTGGCTTGTTCCATTCGCCCTGTTTGTTAGTTTGAGCGCGGGGGAAAACGTGTTGCCAAGCATGGGCTCCGAATACGTCACCGGGGAACATGCCAAACCCGCTGGACTCGGTCCCTCTGGTAGCAAGTCCAAGAACAAGGGAATGGCCAAGGCCTTGGTGGATGGTGTCCGAGATTGGACAAGGGAGACCGGTGAAGTCATGGGTCTCTGGAGAGGAGAAAGTACAAGACGATTCTGAGTGAGCGAGGCCACGGGAATTGATAATATATATATATGTAATGAAATTTGTATTCCGCCATCGCGTCGTGTAAATTGTAATAACAAATTGGCAAAGTGCGCCAGCCTCCATATCGCGTAACTCTGGACCACCAAATTTCCAGATAAATAAAAGCAGATAATGATATATGGACATCGAGCCCTAATGGTAGCGCTGAAATATGGGGGAAAGAAATAAAAGGCGAATAA